GCGGGAGTGCCACCGCGCTCCCAAGCGGTGCACTGTAGCAGTGCGCCACCGGGCCGGCCCCTCATATTATCTTTTAATTCTGTTTTCCACAAACTTTTTGAAGTATTCTCATATTTTGGAGGTAAAGCCAGAAGTCTTTTTTATGAATGGGATATGGTGGTATAACAAAGTGAGGAATCAAGGCTAACTTAATTTTTTGCTTGAGTAGTCTGCTAAGTAAGATGAGGAAACACTTCAGGAGAAAACAGTTGGGTGATTCCAAGATGGTGATGGGTCTGGAGCGGCCGTGCCAGGAGACAGCGCGATCCTGAGAAGTGTGCGCTGTGATACCACAGTACTAATTGCATTTCCAAGAGCAACAAAAAACGAATAATTCTTTCAACAATGATCCTACAACGACAAACAAGCAACAACAGGTTCGAGGTTTTAGGGCCGACACAAAAGAAGACTCCTGAGAGCGCCCAAGCCCTGCTGCGGGTACGAGCGAGCAGCCCAGACAACAAAAGCCAAGTAAGCCAGCAGAAATGGCACAGAAACGGAGTGAAACGCGCCGGACCGGCCCAACTCTGCGAGCTCTGTGAGTCACCCCCAGCCCAGCCCCACTTGCGGGGCGAAGCCCAACTGCTCCCCACCCGCCTGGCTCCCGCCTACCACACCAGGCTAGGCGCCCACAACAGAGCTGCCTCTATTTAATCGGGTGGGGGCGGAGATGGCCAGCTTAGTGAGGGCGGGCCAGCCATCTCTGCTTGGCGCGGCTCCGCACTGAGACATGCCATTTGCTTACCTCGACGTGGGGCACCCCGGGGCCTGTGGACCGGCCTACAATCCCACTCTCCCCGCCGATCTCAGACGGGGCTGGTAGCGTGGGGAGCCCCTGGCCAGCGTCGGGAGGGCAGGGAAGAGGAGCCCACCCAGATTGTCTCTCCACCACACCCTGGGCGTCGGCCCCAGGTAAACTCCCTGTTTCCGGAAGGCAGATTCCATCTCTGGGGGCCTCAGTTTGGAAGAACCCCTAACTGATTTCTGGTGGGGAGAGGGGAGCCCGGAG